AAAAAAAAAAAAAAAAAACAACAACAACAACAACAACCAGGAAAGTAAGATTTGTCAGAAAAGCGCCCATCAGTTTACACACCAGTACCTGATGAGGAAGAGGAGGAAGAGGAGGAAGAGGAGGAAGAGGAGGAAAAGGAGGAAGAGAAAGGGGAGGAAGAGGAGGAGGAGGGGGAGGGGGAGGGAGAAGTGGAAGAGGAGGAAGAGGAGGAAGAGGAGGAAGAGGAGGAAGAGGAGGATGAGGAGGAGAGGGTTCATCATCATCATCGTTCTGATTAATCATCTCAATGTCTATGATGGTGATGAGAATGATAATGCTGCGGTTGGCCATCATGGTGATGACGATCGTGAAGTAGCGAAGGTCTTGTGAGATGGAAGAATGGGAAACAATACAACGACGGAAATGCACCGCCATTGCTAGTTTGAAAACCATATTAATCAAAAAGGCTGGAGGAAGAGGATGACCGAGAAGAAGGGAGAGGAGGAGGAGGAGGAGGAGGAGGAGGCGGCGGCGGAGGAGGAGAGACGAGGAGGGTTATTTCCAAAATGCTGGGACATCTCCAAATTGAATTAACCATGTGCGGAGAGGAGGAGGTGGGAGGTGGGAGGAGGGAGGAGAGAGGATGAGCGAGAAGAAGGGAGAGGAGGAGGGTGGTGGTTCTCAATTTAGATGACATGATGCATTGTCATTCAGTCTGCTATATCGCATGACGGAGCAGGAGGAGGCACTTCCCATCACCTCGCTCAAGTCACAATCACAATTCAGACCACAAGCGACATACCTTGTACTTCAAGCACATTGATTGCAGGGAGGAGGAGGAAGAGGAGCCGGAGGTTTACTATTCACTGCATTCAGACAGAAAATTAGCATTTGATGAGATTATTCCAGCATAGTCAATTCCGAGCTTTTGGTGTGCTCTTATTTGGTGAAACTCTGCAATTCTGCTTTTGGTTCGACGTCGGGACTATCTGGTCTCATGTGTACGATGCTGTTTGCCTCGCACATTCTACTTCGAGCAGGTACCTGTGGTAAGAAGGAGAAGTTGGAATCGGTTTATACCTGTGGTACCGAGGTCTTCCCCCGACCATAACGTACGCTAAAAATGAACGTATGTTTCCGGCCCGATACAGGCAAAATGGGGGTGCATTGTGTTCGGGGGAAGACGGTAGTACACAGCCCCAGCCGTTCAGCAAAACAAACTTGTCGCCACAAGAGAAAATCAGGGCTCGGGGAAGGCCCGGCAAAACGACGAGGCAGGACGCCGATGGGCCCAACGACAAAGGCGAATGGTGTTTCCACATACGTAATCAGAACTCTCTGCATCGCTGGCACGACGGCAAAAACGAGTAGAAGTTGAAAAAAAAAAAAAAAAAAAAAA